CTGAGGCAGTTCCCTCACAGACTTTTAGTTACAGGCCTTGAGCCTCATTCTCCCAAAAACTTTAAAAATTACCCTGTCTTTAGTTCAAACCCCAAACCAAAAACAGATAGTTGAAGCTTAGACTACTTAAGTACAAGAGATTTCAGAGTTTAAACGTTTTAAAAGGATCCTTCCCGATTACAAAAGCCACTGCCATGATGCAGCATTTTGAGTTGTGCAGGGGCTTAGGAAGACTAGGTGCGGCCTTGCACACACGCAGGCCCTCAGGAGATATCTAGGAATGTAATGGAGAACAGAAAAATCCTCGCCTACTTAGAGGTGGCTGGATAGCAAAGAATATACAGGACAAATGATTGGGATCAACAGGGAGAGACAATTAATAAGTACCTAGATGAAGGGAGCCTTCATCTCCTTCCTTCATTTTAAGCTGGAAATACAGAAAGGCAAATACTCAATGGTAAAATTCAACAAGAGCTAAGAGAATTAAAAATTTTAACAAAATCGCTTACAGGAGATAAGAAATTTACGGGTTTCCTGGATCAGAGAGAATGGCTCAGGGGAACATAGCAGGATACGTGTGCCAATACCATTGGAACAGCTCTAGGAACTATTAATGGCTTATGTCCAGTATGGACCAATAGAGGCTGATAGGGAATATTACTATAGAAGCCTCACCCCTAGGAAATTAAAAGCAGATAACCAAGGCCTGCCGGTCAGCAGGAGGATATTTGTTATAGAGACCAGTCAGGGACCTAGGGAGTTAATTAAAAATTGATTTCTAGGCCTATATGGAATTTTACAAAAATGTTAGACACACAGATGTTGGAAACTTTGATTATAAAATAGCTAGCCTATGATAATGTTAGTAATGCATGCCAGACCACACTAAGGCCTCACAGGAGGAGGATTGATATAGTGAGTTCGTTAAGAATTGTTCAGATATGGACCTAGCTGACACTCAGGGATTATTGATGATGGCTGCCTTACAGAAAATTCAGTTAAAAATAAGTTATTCCTACACAGAAAGCAAGGCACAGGGAGGAAGAAATGCACATAGCCTTCTAGAGGTTGCTTTGGGCATTTTCAAAAAGAGCTCCAGGTCAGACAGAGTCCCAACAAAAGAAAGAATTAGGGATCAGGCTTATGCCCAAAATACAGCTACAGATTTTTCAGCAGATAGCTAAGGCCAAGGTCAGCCATGGCAGCAGCCGCGGTCTGCCGGCCCTCAGCCAGCGGCTTGGTACCACCTTATGCTGGCGTCTGCGGCAGGCTAGACAAAATGGCTGCTGGGGCGGTGGACAGTCTGCCTCCTCGGGATAACTTACAATCTTGGGAGGTGCCGCCATGGTTGATGGCTACTTGACCCGGCCCGCGGGGCTCCGGTAATTCGTGGGTCCGAGGTGGATCATGCCTGCAAATAATGGGCGAGAAAGAAAGAGCCAGACCAAGCAGATTCCATTGTCAAGGCCCGTTTATTGATTTATCCAAGGGGTTTTTATAGAGAAAGGAGGAAGCAGAGAAAAAGGAAGTGGGGGGAGGGATGAGTTAATTGTTCTCAGGCAGGTATTCTGAATCTCCTGTGTTTATCTCAGGCACTAACTAAGGAAATGGGAGAGGGGATAGGTGTTAGTTGCTTCTCAGGCAGATATCTGGAATCTCCTGTGATAAGCTAGACTTTCTGGCGTCTAACTAGGTATGGGGTCGCCAAGGCTGGCTTCTGACAGCTAATTAATATATATAAATACTATTGATACAGTCAGACAAAAACTATTTTTGAGACTTATAGAGAAAAAAGGACAACATATTTAAGCTTAGAATTGTTCAAATTTTGGATGCTCATATTTCAATGATTGACTATAAGCTACTGTGTTAGAAATTTCAATTAAAGATTTTTCTTTTCAACAAATTTATCATAACCTAGGCAAAAGGAGAAATGTGAGACTGTGAGACGTATGCAAGTTATGAATGAACGGTGTGGCCACACCTGGATGTGTGATGTGATTGTGAATTTATGAATGTGGATAAATGAAAATGCCTAAATTGCCTTGGATATGATTAGAGAGATATTTACATTGCCTCAGATATTTTTTAAATAATATCAAAATCACTTTAACATTGCCAAAAGGATCATCCAGTCAGTCAATGTCTTAGCAGAAAAATTTTTTTGATTTTAGCCCTAGGTGACAGTCAATTAAAAAGTTAGCAAAAGCCTATAACATTAGCTTAGAGGCATGAGGATTCTACGGATGATTCTGTAAAATTTGGCAGATGAGAGGATACAGGTCTTACTAAATTTTTATGGTTAAAAAAAGAAAACTAGAAAATTAAAGTTGATACATGATTTTAAAAAAGGGGTTTATAAAAAGCCTCAGGAAAGAGCCAACCTGTTAGATTCACAGCTTGAATGTGTCTTTTCATATGCAAATTTAAGCCAGGTCAACCAAGATGCAAATGAGATCTTATCAGCTTGTCAGCCTTGAAGGTTAGATTGCAAAATGCTACTCAAAAACTCTAAATAAATCTAGAGAATTGTTAAAAACATATGTTATATTCTTAAAAAATTAAGGCTTAATAGATAGCAATTGGAAAAGATAGTTTAAAATCTTTAAATAAATTTTTTAGAAATTGTTATAAAATATTCATTGGTTAAGTACCTTTTTTGGGACGTCTAATGATGATTTAAATCCTTTAAGTAAGATTCTATAAGGAGATAATGATCCAGATATACCCAAACAGCTAACTAAGAAGGTAGACAAGTTCTATTATTGGAGGAGGCAATTCAACATCAACAGATATATTGACTATACAAAACCATTACTATGGTTCACCAGCCTAAATATTTTAAACCCTTATTTTAAAACATTAGCCTATATGATACAGAAATGCCATATAGATTTTAAAAAGTAATTTAGGAGAAAACCAAGTATGATACATGTCTCCTACTCTAAGCAACAGTTTAATTGATGGTTTCAGAACAATAAATCATAGGCGATTGCCTTTGCTCAATTTTCAGGAAGAATTGATAATTTCTAGCTCATGGACTGTTACAATTTACACTATAAATCCTTTTGCATTTCCAAAATTATGAAAAGCAGTCCCATACACAGAGTCTAGTAATAGTCACGTCAAAATATTATTTAAACAAATTCAAAATGTTATTCACCTAAGAATTATCATGTTTATGGGTCACAATGGGAACTTACTAAATAGGCCTTTCCCTGATTACTAGCCAAATAGAATAAATTATCTGATTAACAAAATTGGTTGATTTGCCTTAAGTAGAAAAAGCTCAACAGGCTTCTAACTTTCTTCATCATAATAGCAAGTCTAAGTAAGAAATTTGGCTTAACCAGAGAGACTGCTGGTCAAATCATCAAACAATATAGAAAATGTCCACAATATGGCTATAGTTAATTTAAGGATAAATCCTCAAGGCCTGATCCCCAACCATTTATGGCGAATGGATGTGACTCACATTACAGAGTTTGGCAAGTTAAAAATGTGCCACTCCACAAACAGGAGAAGCCACCAGGCATGTTATAAGTCACTGTTTAAGATGTTTTGCTTACATGGGAGTGCCAAAAGTTATAAAAACAGACAATGGGTCTAGATATACCAGCAAAGATTTCCAACAATTTTGTGCTTAATTGCCCAGATCGGTGCTACCGGAACAGCCCTTATGGCCTAGTTCCGCCCAGCGCCGTGGACCTGCCTGCCGAGCCCGAGCCCAAGCCCATAGCGGCAGGGACGGCGGGGCCTTTGGGCCCTTGGGGACGCAGCATGCCGCTGACTTGGGAATGAACCCCTGCCTTCGCGTTTTTATAGCGGCGGTGAGACTTGAGGCGAGCCCGCAGCTCAGGCAGCGGCGGCTCCTGAGCTGGCCGGACGCACAGGCCAGGCAATGGTGGCACATGCCTTTAATCCCAGCATTCGGGAGGCTGAGACAGGAGTTCTAGGCTGTAATGCGCTATGTCCGCACTAAGTTCAGCATCAATATGGTGACCTCCAGAGATGGGGCGACCACCAGGTTGCCTAAGGAGGAGGAGTTCTATACCATGCATTGTCTGTGCTAAATTTCCTCATGTATGATGCTACAGAAAAATCAGCCTTGGATTGCTTCTGGCATCCATGAACGGCTCAAAATTATGCTCAAGCCTTATGGAAAGATTCCCTAACTTACAAATGGCACGGGCCAGATCCGGTCCTCATTTTGGGAAAAGGACATGCATATATTTTTGATACTCAGGCCAAATATGCTAGATGGTTGCCTAAATGCCTTTTTTAATCCACCCAGGGGAAGTCCCTGAGGAGCCTTCTAATTCTGCTTAATTCTAGATAAAAGATGCTGTTTTTTTGGCTACTTAGGTGTTCCCACCTTCGATTGCCGTTGCTGCTGGAAGCCCTTATCAGATCTACAAATACACCTGGATGATCCTCAACTGAGCCAGTGATGCTGCCAATGCTTCCACAACTATTGCAACCACCCCCTCCTATTCCCCCCTGATAGTTGACTTATGTGCTTTAGCCTTAGGGGCCTCTCCAGACTAGGGA